ATTTGTTCTGACCGCTAGCGCTACATTTGGCCAGAGACTGAGCATTCAGTGATGCGTTGTTTATTCTTGCAATAAAAAAATTAAAAAAAACACTGCAACATTTTTTTTTTCTTTTACGGTGAATTGTTTTGTGTAAGACTCATTTCAAATTTAAAGTGAGCTCCAGATATGATGAAGGTAGTAAAAAGGATAAACGGGTTAAAACTGATCTCTGAAGCTGAACGCAGGGTGTCTAGCAAATCATTATTTTTAAATTCCCTGACTTTTCCAGTTTTTCCCTGACAATTACAGGTGAAATTCCCTGACCACTGTAGAAGCGGTTAATATACAAGACCTTTAAAACACAAGGAATTGAGCACTGTGAGGATCATTTTGCACGGGCATAATCCAACTTGCATATTCTGAAATTTTTGGGTACGTCCAGTCCGGATTAAACGAGCACTTTCTTGCCGCCGACATCCGTCAGTGAAGAGGCCACTTCCGGAAGCACGATGAAAATACGACGCTCAGCCACACACGTCAATAACCGAATGGCAGCATGGCCACCAGATAAACACTTTCAGATTAGATTGGGGTCTGCGGCTTTTCTATTAATGAATAGGAGGTAAAAGCGCTAAAAAACGACGGACAAGTTGAAGAATGACGAACACCACAGAGCGCTAACTTGCAACTGAAGTTTATTACTGAAAACACGTACACATATATACACCGTGACATCAAAAAGACAAGTGGCAATAATGCCGCTTCATCTGTCTAAGGTTAATCTATGAATTGTTTACTCTTTCGAATGATTTCAAATATGCCACCTCAGAGCTATACAGGTTTACTGAGGGAGCGCTGACACACTTGCCCTGATCGTACTTCAAAATAAAAAACGCCTCCGATATCTCTCTCGTTTTTTTGTCTCTATTCCGAGTTAAGATAACGGTGTTGTCAAGCCGTGGGACACACCCACATCTGTTACAGTGTACAGCCAGATTGCCCGAGGGTGATGATCTAACTGACAGGGCATGTTCCCTGAGTCTGTCGTTTATGCACCGACCCGATTGCCCGATGTACACCTTTCCGCATGATAAAGGAATTTTATACACCACTTGTTCCTTACACTCTACGTATCTTGTTTTATGATTCTTATGGCATACGCCTACGCGCTCATCACCACGTGCCACCCTTCCACATAGCTTACTCAATTTTTGAGGGGCTGATAAGAGTACAGGGACCCCATGCTTTTCCCCCACTTTCTTTATTCTATGGCTCACCTTATGCACATAAGGTATCACCGCTGGTCTAGACTTTGGCTTGTCTCTCACGCCACATTGTGGCGTGACTGGAATGTGGCGTGAGAGACAAGCCAAAGTCTAGACCAGCGGTGATACCTTATGTGCATAAGGTGAGCCATAGAATAAAGAAAGTGGGGGAAAAGCATGGGGTCCCTGTACTCTTATCAGCCCCTCAAAAATTGAGTAAGCTATGTGGAAGGGTGGCACGTGGTGATGAGCGCGTAGGCGTATGCCATAAGAATCATAAAACAAGATACGTAGAGTGTAAGGAACAAGTGGTGTATAAAATTCCTTTATCATGCGGAAAGGTGTACATCGGGCAATCGGGTCGGTGCATAAACGACAGACTCAGGGAACATGCCCTGTCAGTTAGATCATCACCCTCGGGCAATCTGGCTGTACACTGTAACAGATGTGGGTGTGTCCCACGGCTTGACAACACCGTTATCTTAACTCGGAATAGAGACAAAAAAACGAGAGAGATATCGGAGGCGTTTTTTATTTTGAAGTACGATCAGGGCAAGTGTGTCAGCGCTCCCTCAGTAAACCTGTATAGCTCTGAGGTGGCATATTTGAAATCATTCGAAAGAGTAAACAATTCATAGATTAACCTTAGACAGATGAAGCGGCATTATTGCCACTTGTCTTTTTGATGTCACGGTGTATATATGTGTACGTGTTTTCAGTAATAAACTTCAGTTGCAAGTTAGCGCTCTGTGGTGTTCGTCATTCTTCAACTTGTCCGTCGTTTTTTAGCGCTTTTACCTCCTATTCATGAATAACCAACTAGCCCAAGTACACACCCTTCTACAGGCTTTTCTATTTGTTACTAAATGTAGTAGCTCTAACTGAATCTAGCCTAGTGTCGCGCCTTCAATCCAATCCAATCCAAGGCTTGGACTGGATTTGTCGGCTGTTCCTTTTGCATCGGGTAGCACACTCTACATCGAGTGGGCAGAGCCCGCGCTCAACTCTAAGCAGAATTCATTGCCTATTTTTCTGCCCCCCAGTCCTCAACTTTTTGCTCAGGGCACTTGATGGCGTTTCCGGCTCATTTTCCCCGACTGGGCTTGCTTTTCAACAATATCCCTGACAATTCCCGGTTTTCCTGGTCGCTAGACACCCTGTTCAAATATACCCATGCTCTTCAGTGCCCTGACATCAGTGGCAGGCAGGCTTGCCAGTGGTGCAGGCTGTCTAAAACCTGGACTATGTCGAGCACTTGTTTCGTGCTGCTGCGCGGGTGCGGGAGCAAGCTTCCAAAGCATTCGTTCGACATCATGAAACTGCTTGGAATAAGTTGGGAACAAATCTTACAGTCCGAAGAGTGAACCCTTGCCTGCCGCTGGCATCCCTTTTGCATCGTTGCCAGCAGACATTTCAAGTTTGAAACTAAATACTAAATTTGTAAATTCACTAATTTCACGAAAAACAATATCTGGGAAACTATTTTAGCGGTGTCTGTTGGTGTGTTAAAAATTTTTAGGCAAATTGGGGATCATGAAGAAAACGCTGGAGTACTCCTTTAAGCGTACAATAAATAAATAAAAAAAAATATCAACGCTTATGCATACTTCAGAGGCAGACTGGTCTATTATTCTGAAGGTTATACAATTTAACCTCTTACGAGAGCAGGAATTGGCCATGTTTCACCCGCATTGTGATTTTTGACAGCAGGTTTTTGCACAATTATAAGGTAAAATTAACATATCACAGTCTCATCTGAAAAGACATTTGCACAGCCGCTGGACGTGGTGAAAGCAGCATTGCCAGACAGATACTGCAGCAGCGCAATAAGCTTCACAAAAGTTCTAGAGCAAAATTCATAAAATCACTATTTGTACAAACAGCCTCAAAAACCAATCTCAATGTTTTTATGAGTCAAAAAGCAGAGATGAATTTTGCAAAAATTCGATTTGCACTGAACAAAGTCCCCAGTTCATTGGCACGGAGTTCCCAACATAAGAAAAGAAAAAGCGATGAGGGGGACCAGACAGTCGTGCTTTTACGAGGATGCAGGAATAAAGCATGCTCTCAGGCAACCAGTTGCAAAAACAAGAGAAATTCAATGGATAAGGGGACATGCCAAGCAAAGCGCATGCAATGCCACAATACCGCACACTCCGTATGCAAAACGTTGGCAACAGTCAACAAGTCCCCTTCTTGTATCTGCAGACAGGATGTCTGCAGAGACAGTTTTAAGAGACACCATGCCTTCAGTTTCCAAAAGAGCAATCAACAGTTTCAAAAGTGCAACACTAAACTCACATCCAAAATTGGCACCAATAGATAACAAATCTGAGCAATATTGCAATTTTTCAATCTCTCGGCACATCTACTTACCAGAAACCGTTGAGATAAGCTAAAAACAAATGTGGTCTGCAATCTAACAAAACAGACACAATGTCCACTGCTAAGGCTAACAAATGTCCCTGCTATCAGCACAAGTCTAGAGGCCAAACAGAACTGAAGGAGTGGGGGAATCATGGGTGTATGCCTCATCAAATTGAGGCCAAGATAAGATTACCCTAAACTTTTCCATTTAACCTTCAAGAACAATGGCATGAATCGATTTCACAAGACCACTCAAATTTGATACAACCGCAATCTGAGCATACCTGTCTGCTTTTCACTGTTATTCAGAGATGTGCATACCTCAACATTCTGTAGATACCAGTTAAACATGAGGGGTGCACTTGAGCCCTATCTCTAAATCTAAAATGTGACACCTATGTAACGGGCTGCCATAAGTGACGTAGTGATTCACAACAGGCATCTTCTGCTGTTTCCAGATAGCCGAAGGTGCTAGTTATTGTTACATTTTTCTCCTTCTTTAGAAGAAGAAAAACAAATACATTCCACAAAAAAAGTTTTTAGGCTCATTGGCTGTCTTTCTAAGTTAAGAAGATTTAATTTAGATCCCCCCCTAAATCTAATCGCCTTCCCCCTTCCTCAAATGCAGACACAGTTTGAGAAAAACTGACCAAATGTACTATTCTTGGCATTATATATGCGAGGGCACACCTAAAATGGCGAATGGTGTTCTGCGCAAGGCACAAGAAAAAAAGACACCAAGAAGCAACATGCCATTGCCACCCATGAGAGGTATGTAAATGAAAAGAACAGTATCTCGACCAACAAGTCCAAACTTGTGACCCTATTTTTCGCACTTCAGGAGGCAACTGTTCAAAACTTTGTCCGTGATGATCTTGCATGAACAGCAGATTAAAGAAACAATTAAGTAGAGTCACAATCAGACTTGATTGTAGCAAATGCGCCCTTATATGGTTTTCGCATTAGCTATCAGTGTGCCCCTATAGAATTTTCACATTAGCTACGAGTAGTCTCCTTTGTGTCCTCTTACATTTCGGATCGCATAAACACACCTCAGTGACATCACGTTTCAAATTTTTCGGGATTCAGTTTAACCCTCGTACTCCGCTAAGCGTGACTCCAACTGTATTTAGCAGATGAGCTCAGATTACTCCCCAGTCACATGAGGAAATGGAATGTCAGTTCCATCGACTGCCAATGAACAAGCCCCACTCCTGGCAGAGCGTAGTGCATGCGGAACGCTCGCAGCCTGAATGGCAAGCTACGTTATTCTATAATAGTGACATTAGACTTTGCCGTCGGGCAGAGGTATTAATCTAAAACGGCTGAAGGGGCGATCTGCACAGCTAGAAGTAGAGGCCGGTGTGCCAAGACAGCTAGGGTCACCTTGAGGTAGACCCGCTTGAACTCGTGAAGGCAGTTCTCCGAGCAGAACTCCCGGCGGGCCTGTCCGACAGTGATGGTGTGCCGGAGGTCCTTGCGGTTGTCCTTGCACCAGGTGCAGCACGGCTTCAACTGCCCCGTGCGGCTCTTGGACATTCCTGCCTCCTGCACCGCATGGCAAGGCGTCAGGTGCAACGGCACCACTGGGAGTGCTCGGGCAGATCTGTGCGCCTCCTTAATGTCCCTCATTTGACTAGAGACCTTCCTCCAATCCTTTGGCTCTTGCAGTGATGCCTCAAAGAGATGATCGCAAGAGGGAACAAAGGATTGTTTGGTTCCCCTCTGGCAGTTTCCTTTTCATTGTTTCTTAAGGAACCCGAGGGGATGGAAGGAGTGCCTTCGTATCACCCTCAATATATGAGACTCGAGATACGTAAGTTGCAAAGAAAAATATTTTAAACAAACCTTCTCTTTTCTTCAGTGCAACGACTTAACTTTCTATGCCTGCTCCAAAATAATTGCGTCTCCTCCCTCGTGTTTTTTTTTTATTTGACAGTGATTATATTTTGAATAGCCAGTAGCTTGAGCTTTCTGTTCTAAAATGTTCCCCATTGTTCAAGCCTTCATACAGCAAAGGTGTCTGACCAAACTACAATCTCTCACCCCAGGCCATCGCACCACTACAAAATAAATGGGATGAAATGAGATGCGTGATGCAACTGCATAATAAAATATGAGCGAGCACTTGTGTGACAGCTGTGCCAAGAGTGGCACGGGGTGCTCGTCTATGAACCTCTATGAAGGGCTCAAGAGAACCTGGTTGACCCTGTAGACATAGAAACAGCTGGGCAGCACAGGAAACACAGCCAGCTGTCCTAATCTCTGACAAACTCCTAAAGGTATGTGGGTTCACTGATCGGTATAGCAGTCACAAAACAATTGTGATGTTTGGTTTTCTAGTGCATCCTGGGTGCTTCGATCAGGGTAAAAAAAAACTTCAGCCAACTTTGCTTTTGCCAAGTGATTTAAAACATGAAAATGCCTACTTTCACGGCGTATATATCACTACAAATTGTAACACAATTAAATGACAAATCTGAGCAGCATATATATTTGCAACAACCACAGAATGTCTACACTTAAAATGCCTGCTTTCCTTTCAGAAGTCCTCAGAATTTGCTGACATATTTTGGTCAAAGGGTGATTTTTACCCTCATACTCCACATTTTGGCAACTGGCATAAACAGAAAATACTGTGGCCCACATACAATTTATCACACATTCAATTTTTAGTTTAGAGTCCTCCTAACTGCAATGTCAGACTCCCTGAATTGCTAAAGCTAGACTTGGAAACAATGAATAAAATATATATTTTCTTTTTCTTTGTGCCCTGCCTTACAAAGACATTCATGGCCCATCTATGGTTTAGTTTTATTGTCAACAGGTGTGCGTGTTCAAAATTATCATGCGCTAATCCCTCTTAAAATGGAACAATTAGAGGCTTGGTTAGCAGCTGGATCCCAAATCTTATTTCGTACAAATTTTAATAACAACTCATTTCGGGCTTTTAACTTTGTCCCATCCTAGTCTGACTTGTTCAAATGTCTCCTTTCTAACAGCTTTCTAACAGAAACTATTTCTCTGTTTTAATGCCAGTGGACTTGTCACTATCTGCTGCCCATTTATTACTTCACAAAGCGGCAAAAAGCTCAAAGTAGCGGCTTTTGGCAGCTCACAAACAGTCAATCTTCCCGGGTTAAATAAAGCAATGCCTCACCTTTTTTCCTTGTCACTTCGCCTCCTCCTCCTCTCAGTCGGAAACTGCGGAAACTACGAAGGCGCGACTTTCAATTTCCGAAAAACTGAAAAAGAAGCGCAGTAAAGAGAAACACACACAGGCATGTCACTCTCATTTGACGGCCTATTACGACACGGCAATTTGGACATTATGACATCAAAAACCACCTCTTTCCGTCTAAAAAAAAAAACTATTCATTGCGCGAATTTGTGCGACGTTTAAAAACTCTCAGCCGAGAAGAAAAAATAAATAAAAGTGAATATTATCAACGAGTAATCAATGAACTTTATTAAGTTAGAGATGCGCGATCGGCAAACCACATGCGCGAGTCGAGGCCAAAGAAGTCGGCGCGAATGCACTCGACTGCCGACTTTTATATTTACGACGTCAATTCCTCAGAAACTCCGCAAATTCGTTTTGACGTCGTCGTATTTTGGCCGCGCGGAAAATCAGTGACCAGGGAAAGTGGCTTTGACGACGCGAAACTCTGGGGCGAGCGACTGGGTTTGACGAGTCTTGCAGAGAAAGGGACTGGGGCCTCGATAGCTAACGTCAAAAATTGCTGGCCGATTCGATTACACCACGTCACATCGAACAAATGAGAAACAGCTGCGTTTGACTTTTATGCTTTTTAATGGTCGCTGATAGCAGTAGGTCGTGATGGATAGTTTCGAAGTTGAGGATCAACACAGAGCTGTCGCGAGCAAACAAATGCGCGTGCACACCGCGCGAGCGCGTCGCTTGAAAGCACGCGCAGCACGCGCTCGGCTTGCGCGGTGAAGACATGTCACATTGCCGTGTTTTACAAGTTCTCGGACGGCACACTGGGACCGTTTAGTTCCCACTGTCGAATCCGTTCAAGGGTATGGTCAAGCACGGCGTTCCAGAGGGGAAGCCGACGTTCCGGAGTAAACAAGCGCGGAGGCGTGGGAGCTGAAGCGGGAGCGTTGCCAATAAATCGGAACCGTAGCTCGAACATTCCGTCTCCATGACTCGCGACAGGAGCGTCCTTAAAGGATGGATCCAATCGGAGACCGCGTTGCCGGAGATTAAATCGGCGAGTTTTAGGAACTGTCGAACGATTACGGAGTTTAGTGGTTGTGGTCACTGCCAAGCCAAATCGGGATCCGTTCCAGCGCCGCTGGTCGTTTCGACGGATCTAACTTTTTTGACGCCTAGGTCGCGACATTTAAACAAAAATAGGCTGATAAACGAAATGTTCGGTAAACATACCTGGACGGTGGAGACACTCAAACGAACTCTAGGAGAGCATATTCCGCGGAAACCGACCATTTACCATCACGCAGGTATAGCATAGCCTCGTTACCCGTTGCTCATTCCATTCGATAGCTACGATTAATATTGCATTACAAAGTTAAAAACAATAAATCTTGTAAATTATTATCAAGATAAAGCACTCTGCTAAACGTAAATATAAATATAAAAAGCGATTTCTATAAAAACATGTGGAGTCGATTTGATCAGTTGCTTGGTTCTGAGGCTAGCTGATGAGTGCAGACAACAAACATGGCGTACAGGCAGCCGTCGTCGATTAAGGTTGAAACAGATGTAACGCACGAGGAAAAACGAAGAATTCAAGAACGGGCGAAACTCAGGGCAGCACTCAAACAAGAATACGTCCGCCAAATAACGGATCCTCACAAGCACGGCGAGGGTGGCCTCCTGGTAAGTGTCGAGCGAAGGTGGACTTTTGCTCGCATGGCGACAAGGTCGTGCGACTACAAGCGCTCAATCTCGCTCCAAGTATCACTCAGTCACGAAATTTTGAACGTGATACCAACTTGACATCGTCTGTCGTACTGTCACACCTCGGAAACCGCCGATTCCTCATCATCGTCACTGTCGTCCGCTTAGAAAGTGGGAACTCGGAAAGGGGCTATTAGTGAACAGCAATCATTTGAGCGAATCGACGTTTTAGCGAATGACGTATCATTGGGGCACGTGTAAACACCCCCCCCCCCCCCCCTCTTCGTTCGCAGCGAGTCCGCGGCGGCTCTTTACAAAAATGTTAACTCACCTGGCCCACCCGTACACGCCGCTTCCTGGCGGCCGTCCATTCACTAAAGCGACTTTCGATGAAAAGTCGAGGGCGGTACTTCGCTAAAACGTCGCTCGACCAACTGAGTACCGTCCTTGTCTGCCATACCCGAACATTACGGTAAACCTCTACCACCTCGCCTGCACTTTCACCGTGGTTTAGTAAGTCGTGCCCAGATGGCCTCATCCCAATTTTATAAAATTCGATCATAAATGGAGAAAAACATAAAGAATTTCAAGTCTCAACATACTCATCGGTGGGATGGGACACTGGTCACCACAAACGACTAGCACATGGTTATCACATTCCTTATCGGCTCACCTTTCTGCTTTCGTAACATTCGGGTTCACGACGTATATTAAGTATTGCGATAGTCAACGGAGCTCCGTTTTGCTTGCTATGCGTCCCCAGCCCATTCTTTTCGAGTAACGAGTGCTGTCCGAGATGTTGTCTACAAACCACAAATGAAGGACAACCTGACCGGAACACACTAGCACCTTGGCGCCGTATCAATTTTTGTAGCTTTTTATGCCCCGTGCTACCAATGCTCAAAAAAGAATTGCGGAAAGAGACGAAATAAGCGCAAATATAACTGACGACAGTGTAGAGCGTACGGGACAGTGCCTTCCAAAAATGGGGACAGTGGGTAGCGAGGCCAGGGGAGAGGTTGTACGCTTGCGCGGAAGCTCACCATAAAATATTGCAGTGGCTTAGCTCGGCTATGCCAGGATATACATAGCGTGAGCTTATGCATACAAAATGAGAGGCGCTATCAAGCGGCTCCGGTGCTGCGTCAGACTTGGCTATTGTGCAACGGAGGCGCACAGCTGGGCACGCGGCGGCGCCAGTGCGTCTGCTGCGGCTATGACGTCACTCCACTGGAATGCGCAGGCCGGCGAGGCAGGCGCGGCGGCGTCAGAGAGCTCGGCGGCGGCTTCGCGTGGCTCTCATAATGAGCCGTGCTCATTATGCGGAGCTCCGCCGCCACGCGCTCCGTATAATGAGCACGGCTCATTATGAGGGCCATGCGAAACTGCTCAACCTTTGCCAGTGTAGCTAACGCTACAAAAAGCTTGTTGCAGCAACAGATGCCGTTCTGCTGAGCCATATGTCTAGCTCGGCTGGTTTTGGAAGCTCGATTCTTCTCTCCTCGTGCAGTTTGACCCAGCGGTGCAGCGGTTCCACTCTGCCAAGGCCGGTGCGCAGATCTACGAGACTTTCAAGCCGACACCGAAGGGTGCGGCCCGCTGGCTCGGAATCTGCATCTTACCCATGGTGGCCTTTGGCTACCTCGTCAAGAGAGACAGGGTACGATACCTGGGCGCGTGCTGGGTCCCGGTGTAGTTTGTGCCCTGTCGCACGTGCCGGGATCCAGGGGCGCTTGTTCCGGATGAATGTTTGCGCACGTTGTTTCAGCCTTTATTCGTTTCACGAAAAGTATGGTGTTTCAAACACTTGCACGTGTCATACGTACCAGGTTGTGGGTTGTGCGATAAAAGAAAGTTTGTTCCATTGAAAAGAAGAAAGTTCTTTTAAACAGTCTGGTTGGGACACGCAAAACAAAAAATGAAGCTTACACGAAATTTTTTTTTTAAAGCAATATTGACAGCGCGAGATGCGGTTTAGTCAATAGTCAACTCCTTTCCACTTCTTTTCTCTTGGCATCTCGGGCGCGTGGAGGAGAGATGTATCGACTTGGCTATCATGTTGTGGTGGAGAGAGTGTATGACAATCTCGTTGAGGTCAAAGAGTGCATGACCATTTTGTGATGCCATGAACTTAGTGTGCAGAATTTAAAATAAATCTTGCGCTGTCAATATTGTTCTAAAATTTATTTTTTTGACTTGCATGTTCCAACCGGACTGTTTAAGAAAATCTTTTTTTTCCCCTTTTTAGTGAGTTTTTAGAGGAATACTGCAACGAAATTCTAGCAACTATTTCATTGTCTACATGTCAACCACACTCCAGCCACACCACGGAGAGTCTGTCAGCAGTGTAAATTTGGCGGTCCGGCATATTTTATATTTCTCTTGCACATTATCGTCTCTTTCTTGGCTCGAAGAACTTTTGTGAACGTTATAAACAAGCCTTCTGATAGGTATTACGCACATTTGACCTCGGAAATCCCGCAAAACCTTCGCTCTAGTGAAACGCTCTTTGAGAGCCACCAGATAGATGGCGCCAGCGTGCCAATGCGTCCTCCCGTGAGATTTTAAGAGGTTTTAAGGCGCTCGGTTCTAAAGGCTCGTTCACACACTTGCGGCCTCTTAGGACAGAGTGCTTTGGAACCTCTTTAATATTTCTTACAACGAGAGCACACTGGCACCATCTATTGGGTAGCGGTGTAAATTTGGCGGTCCGGCATATTTTATATTTCTCTTGCACATTATCGTCTCTTTCTTGGCTCGAAGAACTTTTGTGAACGTTATAAACGAGCCCTTCTGATAGGTATCACACCCATTTGACCTCGGAAATCCCGCAAAACCTTCGCTCTTGTGAAATGCAGTTCCAGGGTCACTGCATAGATGGCGCCAGCGTGCCTGTGTGTTCTCTCATCACAAGAAATTTTAAGAGGTTTCAACAGGTCTTGTCTCTCTCGGTCGTACTCGGTTGCAAGTGTCTGAACGGATCTTAAAGCGCGTCGTTTAAACACTTGCAATCGAGTAGGAACGAGAGATACAAGACCGGTTTTTAAGCATCTTGCGACAGCGTAGGACCTGCTCTGCAGCAGTGCATCCGATCCTACGTCGTCACAAGAGGCTTAAAAACTTTCTCTCTCGGTCCTACTCGGTTGCAAGTGTGTGAACGGCGCTTAAAGAGCCACAAGTGTGTGAAGAAACCTTTCAAATCTTTTACCACTTTTTTTTTTAATACAATTGTATTGGCACGCGTTCACATACTTACCACTACGCGGCGGAATTTAAACGACACCATGCTAGCAGTCGTACCGCCAGTATCGCCAGAGTTTGTTGTCCGCAGCAGAGACACCAGGCACTCCTTGCAGGCCGGTACCCCCGCTGTCCGTTCACCGACTGCGCATATTTGGCCTTTTATAAATGGGGCAGCGGCTCGCGCTGCCTCAGGTCATTCAGAAAAGGCTTTCGAAGCGGCTGCATTGCTCTTGGAACTGGTGGAAGCGGGCGTAGCAGCCGCGGCAGGACTTCTGTCGTACCACGGAGAAAATTTGGAACATTCAAATTTTCTTGCGCTCTCTAGTGGGGGGATGTCACGTTGTGTGACGTTCACATTGTTCGTCACACGTTGTAAGGAATTAGAGCTTGTCTGTGCCATTTTCATCCTGTCAGCGACTAGAGCTGAGACGAGTCTATTAATGAGTTCTTCTAATTTTGGGACAACGTGGCGACCATCGAAATTTCGATGGTCGCCTGAGATTCTTTTTTTGAGATCGTTCTTTTGTGGTGACAACTCAATCTAGATGCTTTAAACATCCCAACAAACTTGAAATCACAATCATACATAGCTTATTTTTTGTTAAAAGCGCGTTGAAAGATCGTGACGTGACCTTTTTGGGAAGAATTTTCATCCGAGTGAAGTGGTTGACGAAGGGAGCTTGTCGGCGAGCTGCAAGCGATGGCTTCGCCCGCGGAGAAAAAGAAGAGTTTTAACCGAATGTGTACCTATCAGACTCTCTTCGAAACATGTTATAATAAAATCATTCGGAATCTGCGCGTATTGTAGGGTTTTCATTGGTCTCCACAACGTAGTCCGCAAGGAAAAAGTTTGCATGTTTTTTTTCTTGCCCCGAGATGAATGGGCGCTTTTGTAATATAGGACTTGGTATATGTGGGAATTAACATTTTAAACAATATAAGATCAAAAACAACTTTTTTCAAAAATGACTTCAGTGCCCCCTTAAAGGGGCACTAGAAAGACGGGAAGAAAACCAAAGGCTGCTTCGAAGTGTCGAACACGAGCGTTCAGTGACGACATTGGTCTAGTGCAGTGGTTCTCAAATGGGGGTCCGCATACCCTTTGGGGTCCCTGAAGGTCTCCTTAGGGTCCCTGAAGCCCTTTAATGTCAATCAGGCCAAGCAATAAACTTTTTTTAAAATTCATTCTGGCTGCTTCCCAAAGCTAAATAGACCAAGCCATGTGTACCAAGTGACTAGGGCTGATCATTCTCAGTTTCAGAGCTTCAAAGTTGACTTTTGTCATTGTAATCGTCTACTACCCTCTCTCCCCCCCTCCACCCTGGATGGGGTCCCCCATCACTTCTGCCAATCCAGAAGGGGTCCCCAAAACATTAGTAGTTGAGAACCACTGGTCTAGAGCATCGGATAATGACGACATAGAATTCTAGAGGTAGGGCTGGCTGAACAAGGTGCATGTGACACCTTCCGATCCTTTCAAGCGCGCGATTCTCACTCACAGTTTTGCTTGGAACACCCATAAATCGGTGGGGCGTTCACATCTTCATAACTGGATGTTAATTTCAACAATTAGGAAGATTGCGCATGGTTGTTGCACGCTCCCGTCGTTTCAGTTCTGGTTCAGACCAAGGACGTCATCAGCGATAAAAAGTCTGCTCAAAATTCTAAAGTTCTTTCAACTGTTATGTTCCAGATACATCAGATTTCTTCTTTATTATATTTTTAATGCGTTGCTAGAGTCCCTCACACTGATTCGAGCAAGCGCGATGCAGATTAAAAAAATGGCCAGAAACGCTTTGCAGGGCCCCTTTATGCATTAAAGAAGTAGCCAACGAGGTTACGCCCGGTATTCCTGTGGGCAGTGTTGGTAACCAAGCTAGGAGCTTGGTTGACATCAAGTATTCTACTATGCGAGTTAAATGGATCATTGGCCCTTTAAACGGACCACACGGAGCAGTTTTGTACAAAGGTGGCCCATTTTATGTATGTATCAAAATTTCAAAGAATGGGCCCACCCGAGTCAAGAATTGAGCAGGAATTCGCTACGTAGGGTGGCATCTGCCAATGAAAGACGTCCGGGTGACGCAACAGCCGAGAGATGGCAGCAGCTGTCGACTTGTAGCCGAAATAGCTCGACAAAGACTCTTCCTCGTTGTTTTCTGTCCATCCAACATGTTTTATTAGTAAAAAAAAAAAAAAAATCATGCACTATGTATAAAAAGTTGCGCCACGTTTGACTGCACCCTTACTCGTACCCGTTTTCATTTGTCAGCTGTTGCACCAATCGGAAACCTTTCGTCAGCAGATACACACTGTAGGTAGCAAAATCGAGTTCAATTTTTTAACTCGTTCTTTATGTTCTAAACTTTTTGTGCACAAATTGAATCATCTTCAGCCACTTCTGTACAAACCCTCAGTGCGATGTGCTAAAGATTTAACCAATACAGATCCCTTTAATGGGCCAATGATAAATTTGACTTGTGTGGTACGTGCCACGAGCTTAGTTGTGTGCCGAGGATGTGAACAACTTGTATGTTTTCTTTTCCGGCTTGCAGGATGAATTCGAGAGGAAGTGCAGAACGGGAGAGATCAAGTACGAAGACAGGATGTTCAAAGTCATGTGAACAAGGCCCTTGGCTTAGCAGTTTGGAGGTAGAGGAATAAAGGATGTTGTACATGGAACTGCGTGCTAATCAGCTCGGTGGTGCGAGGGATTTCCTGCGCACAAGCTGGAGAGACTTGTAAGCCTAACTGTTTTTCCTAGCTCCCAGGTGCTGTGGCTTCAGTAGCACTTAATGAACGGAAGGTATGAATAGGTGCCCGACAAGCGGCGGAGTTTTTATCAATTTGTGTACGGTCTTAACATTTCGAAAAACGTTTCAAAACTATGATTTACTTAGCTTTCCTATTTGGAAGTAGTTACTGTTACGTGCCAGTCACTTGCAACCCCGTCAACAGTTTCTACGTAACCAAACGACTGGCCAAAAATGGTCTTTAAAACAAGAGTACATATAGTTTGTACAGTTTCAGCTAAGAAAAAGATGCTCAGATAAATGAGACACAGCCGTACCAAGCGATAACAGTGGCATTGAAGGAGAGACAACACGACGTCTTTTCTCGCTTTCACACTTTCATTCTCTTAAAAACATTCAGAGAGACGAAACAGAAATAAAACACGAGGTGCAATTGGGTAAACCTAAACACGCAAGTCTTTCCATCTTGGAAACGAACGATAAGTGGCACACGGAGTGGAGCCGTTCAAGCCGGTCGTCCTCGGTGCCCCGGGGCATCGTCTCAGAAGCGCTGCGAGAAGGTGGGCGGCCCCGACTGCTGACTCGTACCGCCAGCCGAGGTGAAGGTCAGGACCGGTGGCTGCGCCGACTGCACACCCGACCCCAGGCCGCCGTGGGTCTGGGGTCACGACACCGCATCGAGAAAAGGCACTTTAGTACTCGCCATTGCGCGTCCCTCAGGAGCCCGGGTCTGAACCTAACCAAACCTAATTGTGCCCGGCATTTTACCTGCTGGCAACAAATCTTGTATTTTTTTTTTTTTTTTTTTTTGCTGCGAGAGATTACAATTTGGTTGGATTGATGCGACAAGATCCGGATCTCGATTTCGCCGAATTCTTGCCGCGTGCAGCCTATTTCTAGGTTTGAATAAAATCGCTAAAGAAGCCACGCTTAGAGCATTAGCACTCGTGGGTGCAACCATTTTGATGCTTGGCACAGAGTGGGTGCAATTGGCTCTCGTTACTATTTGAAAATGCGACTTCCCGACTTTTGGGTGCAACGCCGGGAATCTCGGGCGACGTTGCCCTGCTTCGTTGCAAGCTGTTTTGACATTTTTGGAGGAGAGGAAAGCGTTTCTTGCAATTTCAGGCAACCGACAACGACGGTTTTGAGCACCGAAATGGTCAAAGTGCCGTTGCTCTTAAGCGTCGCTTATTTAGTTGTGACTCTAGGTTGTGTGTGCTTTAACATCCAGGTCAGATTCAAAACCTGCCTTTAAACTTTTGGTAAGATATGGCACTATGCGGAACTTTACTGTCTGTACTTGCGAGAACCTACGAGTCACTTCTTTGTCCACACTCAATCTGTCGAGGTGGTCTTTCCTTTACGTGCTAGAAGGTGACATACTATTAGTGTTTAGAAGAAATTGGGAGCTACGGCACCGACGCTACTTTTCAGAAGGATCTGAGCCACACTGCTCACTTACAGTGGCTCAGTGATTGCTAGAAAGCTTTAGTAATCGGAAATTTTCCAATAATGTGATCAATGCAACTTGGTAGAAGGTCTGGACGAGCAATGAACTTGACATGCACTCCTTTGTTGCAGATGCTTGCAACATATGAAAGCGAGAGTGCATTTGTATAACAGCTATGTACTCTGCTCTGGCGGACTGCATCGTAATATTGAGAACATAAAGGAAGCACCAGATCGGACTTGCTTACAGAAGGATGGTTGTATTACAGTGGTTGTCTTTTCATCCCTTCTCCAACATTGGTTTGTTTTGTTACTTGCATACTTTGGAACAAACTTCAACAAATGGACCAAGTAGAAGCATTACTGTGGCTATGATTCGAATGTGTAGTGATAGTTAAAAACTTTCTTTTTTATATAAAAACTACTAATTAGTATGTTTTGGTTTTTGTGTGGGTATTAGTTTCATAAACACTCGTTCCATAAGAAGCTACTGGAGCAATTGTTAAAATTAAGGACATCTCTAAACATTCCTATGTAAAAACTTTCCTATAAAGAAACTTTATAAAAAGCTCCACAACTTTGAGCCAATTATGCAAATAAAAAAATTAGAATTAAGTTATATCAGAGCAAAGCAAGCAGGTGTACAGTGTCTGCATGTACATTGTACAGGTTTGTTTTTCCTATTAGCGATTTTTAAATATTTTCACAAATGAAAACTAACACCAAATCTATGAATGTTATTCCTAAACCAGGATGTTGTCCTAATATAAACTAGAGCTAGTGAATTTTTTTATAAATCGATTCATAAAGAAAGCTTGAAAAAAATTTTGCAAATAGAATTGCAATCTGAAACAAAAAATAGTTTCCTATATTGAATCCCATAAATATAGACTGAAAAACAAAAACTGCAATTTCTAACATTTACAATGCATCCAGATGATTGTGCCCAAAGTGTTTACCTGGAGCCTGGCCTTTATCTTAGTATTTTTTTTTTCTCAAACAAAGTTTCTGTATTTCCTTTTTCCGAATATAGTATTTTTTTTTTTTAGCTCTAAAAATTTGTTTGAAGAAAAACTGAAAACAACACTAATGCAGTCTGTGCGGATGAGCTATATGACGTGTTAGACATAATGCACGGCAATAACTGTCATAATAAATTGGGCAATTAACTCAAATTTGTTAGGTAACTAGAATTGTAAGAATGCTTGGGGCATGTGGGAAGCGCATTGGTGCATTAAATTTGAGCTATATGACGTGTTGGACATAATGCACGGCAATAACTGTCATAATAAATTGGGCAATTAACTCCAATTTGTTAGGTAACTAGAATTGTAAGAATGCTTGGGGCATGTGGGAAGCGCATTGGTGCATTAAATTTGAGCTATATGACGTGTTGGACATAACGCACGGCAATAACTGTCATAATAAATTGGGAAATTAACTCAAATTTGTTAGGTAACTAGAATTGTAAGAATGCTTGGGGCATGTGGGAAGCGCATTGGTGCATTAAATTTGAGCTATATGAAGTGCTGGACATAACGCACGGCAATAACTGTCATAATAAATTGGGCAATTAACTCAAATTTGCTAGGTAACTAGAAGTGTAAGAACGCTTGGGGCATGTGGGAAGCGCATTGGTGCATTAAATTTGAGGTATATGACGTGTTGGACATAATGCACGGCAATAACTGTCATAATAAATTGGGCAATTAACTCAAATTTGTTAGGTAACTAGAATTGTAAGAACGCTTGGGGCATGTGGGAAGCGCATTGGTGCATTAAATTTGAGCTATATGACGTGTTGGACATAATGCACGGCAATAACTGTCATAATAAATTGGGCAATTAAGTCAAATTTGTTAGGTAACTAGAATTGTAAGAACGCTTGGGGCATGTGGGAAGCGCATTGGTGCATTAAATTTGAGCTATATGACGTGTTGGACATAATGCACGGCAATAACTGTCATAATAAATTGGGCAATTAAGTCAAATTTGTTAGGTAACTAGAATTGTAAGAACGCTAGGGGCATGTGGGAAGCGCATTGGTGCATTAAATTTGAGCTATATGACGTGTTGGACATAACGCACGGCAATAACTGTCAATAAATTGGGCAATTAACTCAAATTTGTTACATAACTAGAATTGTAAGAACGCTTGGGGCATGTGGGAAGCGCATTGGTGCATTAAATTTGAGCTATATGATGTGTTGGACATAACGCACGGCAATAACTGTCATAATAAATTGGGCAATTAACTCAAATTTGTTAGGTAACTAGAATTGTAAGAACGCTTGGGGCATGTGGGAAGCGCATTGGTGCATTAAATTTGAGCTATATGATGTGTTGGACATAACGCACGGCAATAACTGTCAATAAATTGGGCAATTAACTCAAATTTGTTAGATAACTAGAATTGTAAGAACGCTTGGGGCATGTGGGAAGCGCATTGGTGCATTAAATTTGAGCTATATGATGTGTTGGACATAACGCACGGCAATAACTGTCATAATAAATTGGGCAATTAACTCAAATTTGTTAGATAACTAGAATTGTAAGAACGCTTGGGGCATGTGGGAAGCGCATTGGTGCATTAAATTTGAGCTATATGATGTGTTGGACATAACGCACGGCAATAACTGTCATAATAAATTGGGCAATTAACTCAAATTTGTTAGGTAACTAGAATTGTAAGAACGCTTGGGGCATGTGGGAAGCGCATTGGTGCATTAAATTTGAGCTATATGATGTGTTGGACATAACGCACGGCAATAACTGTCAATAAATTGGGCAATTAACTCAAATTTGTTAGATAACTAGAATTGTAAGAACGCTTGGGGCATGTGGGAAGCGCATTGGTGCATTAAATTTGAGCTATATGATGTGTTGGACATAACACACGGCAATAACTGTCATAATAAATTGGGCAATTAACTCAAATTTGTTAGGTAACTAGAATTGTAAGAACGCTTGGGGCATGTGGGAAGCGCATTGGTGCATTAAATTTGAGCTATATGATGTGTTGGACATAACGCACGGCAATAACTGTCATAATAAATTGGGAAATTAACTCAAATTTGTTAGGTAACTAGAATTGTAAGAATGCTTGGGGCATGTGGGAAGCGCATTGGTGCATTAAATTTGAGCTATATGAAGTGCTGGACATAACGCACGGCAATAACTGTCATAATAAATTGGGCAATTAACTCAAATTTGCTAGGTAACTAGAAGTGTAAGAACGCTTGGGGCATGTGGGAAGCGCATTGGTGCATTAAATTTGAGGTATATGACGTGTTGGACATAATGCACGGCAATAACTGTCATAATAAATTGGGCAATTAACTCAAATTTGTTAGGTAACTAGAATTGTAAGAACGCTTGGGGCATGTGGGAAGCGCATTGGTGCATTAAATTTGAGCTATATTGTCACGGATGACAAGTGACGAGGCGGCAAATGACCGAGTAAACTGAACGTTTAATAGGGCGAACTTGTGCCCGAAAATAAAGGAAATAGAAAGATAACAATAGAGCGTCGCGGGCGTCGAAGGCGGCGAAGCGGCAAGATCGAACGCTGATGCGAAACTGACTCGACAAGGTTGCGGGTGGCCTCTTATCTAGAGTGAATCACTATCTCGAAGATTCGGCGGAGAAGGTTCGAGCGTAGCGCGCTAGGGGCGAGAATGAACGCGCACTTTCTAGAACAACAGAAAACGATAGAAGGTATGTCCGCAGCAAGAATAAACAAGAATCTTCTACAAGTTCGTGACCCTGCACGCGGCATTATCCCCCCCCCCTTTAAAAGCGCATCGTCCCGATGCAGCACAAAACGGAAAACAAAAACAAAAGGACAGCAGAATTGCTAGTCGGAATTCACAGTCCACAGTTCACTCGTCGATGAGAGTGGAGAGTCCTATCGTTCGTAATACGGCTTGAGGCGCACGACGTGGACTACTTCAGGTCGCGGTTGACGTCGTCTTGATGGTGGAGTTCCGTCGGGAAGCACCTCGTAGTTTAAGTCCCCGAGACGGCGAAGCACCTTGTAGGGTCCAAAGTAGCGCTTGAGAAGCTTCTCGCTGAGACCGCGGCGCCGTATTGGTGTCCACACCCATACCCGGTCTCCGGGTTGATAGTGGGCGTCACGCCGGCGAAGATTGTATCGACCGGCGTCGACATGTTGCTGGTCTTGAATTCGTAGTCTTGCTAGCTGGC